CACCACACCCATCCGTGGTTGTTTTTGCTGGATAATCTTGGGAATGTAAGATACTTTCCTCTGTAAAATGGGAAGTGTTGAAGTCTTTCCTCTATAAAATGGGAAAGGTGTCTGTCCCCTTACTTACTGAGTTCCTGAGTGGATAAACCAAGATCTTTTATTGAAAGTACCTAATGCCTGGCACACAGTGGGAGTTCTTATAGTTATTTTTGCTGTTGTTTTCATAGCTTATTCAAAACTGTTACAGTTGGAAGCAGATCTGCTCTGGTTTTCTTCACATTCACACTCTCTCTCTTTTTTTTTTTTTTTTTGAGATGCAGTCCTACACTGTCACCCAGGCTGGAGTGCAGTTGTGCAATCTTTGCTCACTGCTCACTCCGCCTCTGCTTCCTGGATTCAAGAGATTCTTCTGTCTCAGCCTCCCAAGTAGCTGGAACTACAAGTGCACGCCACCACTACCAGTTAATTTTTGTATTATTATAGAGACGGGTTTTCACCATGTTGGCCGGGCCGGTCTCAAACTCCTGACCTCATGATCTGCCTGCCTTGGCCTCCCAAAGTGCTGGGATTATAGGCATGAGCCACTGCATCTGGCCCTCATGCTCTCTTTTGAAGATGTCCCAACACTGATAATATGAACACAAGATATATTTTACTAGCACTTTGTGCTTTTCACAATAATATGGTACCCATGGTGACAGGTAAATCATGTAGTGGTCATGAATTCGGATGCCAGGTCAGACTGTCTGTACTCAAATGTTGGCATCACCACATTCTAATGACCTTGAAAAGATATTTAGCCTCTATGTGACTCAATATCCTCATCCTCTAAATAGTGATAATTGGCATGTCCACTTTATGGGGTTCTTACTTGACTAAAGTCAGTTAATACACAAAGAGGGCTTAGTGGCTGGCAAGTAGTAGGTGCTTAATAAATGTTAATGATTATTATTAGTTCATTGAAATGTGGTTGCCTCGTGCATATGACACTCATTTGAAAGGTGGAGAAACTGACTCAAGGAGGAGTTTACAGGAAGGGCCAAACTCACACTGCGCATTTGCAGCCAGCAGCCTCATCACCCAGAGCCAGGCCCAGGTGCTGGGGCTCCAGGCAGGATTTATTTCAAAGGCAGCTTTCCTGCACACCCTCCCTTCCCCCGCAGCTCCCCACCACTGTTGCGGGAAATTATGCTTCGAGCCATGTATCTTCTTTGACACACTCTGCTCTTGAAGAAACACTCCCAATTACTGTGGCTGTGTTCTTCGTGATTGCAATGTGTCATGACATTTCCAAGATGTAAGTTTCTTTGAAAAAGGCATTAGCACCAGGCGAGTGAAGCGGCTCATTTTTCAAACTTGGAAACTGTCGTTGGCCCCGCTCAGCGCCAGTGAAGCCTGAACACACTGTTTAGTGGGCTCTGTCAGGCGACCAGAGTTCACTTCATGGGCATGTTCAGCCGCATTCCCTTGGGAGGGCTGCTGAGAATGTGCAAATGTATGTACACCTCCACCCACACCCACACCCACCCTCACACTCCCCTTCACACATCCACCCATGCTTCACCCTACGCACAATCAGTCTTTGTCAGGCTCTCCCGAATCCCAAATTCCCTCCAGGATCCTAACCCCCTCCTCCAGCCTGGAGTCACTTGATACTCCACTTACAGACTCCTTTGCCCCTGTCCACCACCACGGAGAAGCGTTGCACTCCTTCACGGTTCTCCATCTGTATCAGCCAGGGTCATTCATTACAAGCGAAAGAAACTATTGTTTGCTGATTTAAGTGGCAATGGAATTTACCAGAAGGCTTTCGGTTGACCCGTAGAGTTGCCAGCCTCAGGACACAGGCAGGAACAAAGGAAGGCAAGACAGCCAGAACCCTGGGCAAATTCATGCCACAGCACTAGTCCACAGTGAGGGCACCACTGACCACTCACTGCCTCACTGGCATGACTCTCCCGTTGAAAAGGATGCTGGTGCTGTGCCCATCTTCTAGTGCTTTAAGTTCTGGTGCATGCATCTGATTGGCTAACCTTGGTCACATGTCACCAGCGTAGCTGCAAGGGAGGCTGAGGAAGTGAGGAATGGTCATATTGGTTTCCTACGATGGTTATAACAAACCACAAACTTGGTTGCTTAGAGCAATAGAAATGCGTTATCTCACAGTTTTGGCCATATTTCCTTTGAAGGCACTAGGGAAGTGTTGGCTCCAGACCTTTCTCCTAGTTTCTGGTAGCCTTGGACATTCTTTGCCTATAAATGGCTGTCTTCTCCCTGAGTCCCTTCATATCATCTTTTCTCTGTGCCTGTCTTTGTCTAAATTTCCCCTTTTGATAAAGACACCATCATTCTGGATTAGAGACCACCCTAGTGATCCCATCTTAACTTCACTGTACCTGCAAAGACCCCACTTCCAAACAAGGTCAGATTCCCAGGTTACTGGTACCAGGACTTCAATGTTTCTTTCTTGGGGGACATAATCCAACCCATGCTACTGGCCTTTCAGTTTATTTGATAAGAGGCAGGCTACAATGGCTACCAAGGCTTATGCACGATAATTTCTTTTACACATACAAAGATGTTCAGATGCAGAAAGCCAAACCCTGCTAACAAAAAGTTTGAAAAATATCCATTACACACTCACTGTAAGAATTTAGTACTCCAGAATTAGATATTCCCTGGTGTGTTATAATGAACCACATACTATTTCCCATTTTGTAGCGGATGAATTACTAACAAAAAATTTTATCAGCCGGGAGCAGTGGCTCATGCCTCTAATCTTAGCACTTTGGGAGGCCAAGGTAAGCAGATCACCCGAAGTCAGGGGTTCAAGACCAGCCTGGCCAAGATGGTGAAATTCTGTCTCTACAAAAATACAAAAATTAGCTGAGCATGATGGCAGGTGCCTATAATCCCAGCTACTCGGGAGGCTGAGGCAGGAGAATCGTTTGAACCTGGGAGGCAGAGGTTGCAGTGAGCCCAGTTCGCAGCATTGCATTCCATCCTGGGCAACAGAGTAAGACTCTGTCTCAAAAAAAAAAAAAAAAAAAAAAAAAAGAAGAAGAAGAAAATTTTACTGGCTTGAGCATTTTATCCACCTATTCCTAGGACTAACACTGGCTATTTAAGGGCCTGCTGTTAAGAGACAATGTGTATTCTTCATGACCAAAAACAGAATTGACTCCCAAAGAAGATGAGAATGTTTCTTCAAAGCAGGTGAAATGGTGGAGATTCAGACAGGTGCAGCAAAAGGGAGGGAGCATGACATTATTGCCTTTGCAGCCTCAGGTGGCCGCCAGAAGTCTGCAAAGAAGGGCATTACCAGGGAAGTTAAACCCTGAGTCTAACAGAGGAAGTTGCAGGGTAAATAAGCATAGTAATGGTAACCAGGATATCACGTGGATTTAGGGACCTTTGTCAAAGCTTCTGTTAATAGGTGGAAGAGCAAAGCATTACTTGAAGAGAATGTTGTATTCTTCGTGCTAAATCTAGATATTTCTCAATACATTTCTTTATCTCCCCCAGACTGGTGGGAATTTTAATTTCTGTTATTATCATACATGCTCTTTCAGGGTCGCCCAGGGTTAAACAAAGTCCTAGGTAGACTTATGTAGTTTTAGTCTCAGTCCTAGGTGGTCTTATGTAGCTTATTCCAGGATCTTTGACAAAGGTCCCTGAATCCATGTGTTATCCTGATTACCATTAAAATGCTTATATACCCTGTAACTTCCTTCGTTAGAACCAGGGTCCAAAGTCCCTTGCAGGTGTCCTTCTTTGCAGAATGTATGTGGTGGTTGCAAATGAAAACTGGACACAAGTCCACATCTTCTTAGGTCACCATTGTTTGCATGGGTCCAGTCTTTTTCTTTGTTTGTTTTTGTTTTTCCTGAGACAGGGTCTTGCTCTGTCACCCAGGTTGGAGTGCAATGGCACTATCTTGGCTCACTGCAATCTCTGCCTCCCAGGTTCAAGCGAATCTCATGCCTCAGCCACCTGAGTAACTGGAACTACAGGTGTTCACTACCACGCCTGGCTGATTTTTGTATTTTTTTGTAGATCCAGGGTTTTGTCATGTTGGCCAGGCTGGTCTCGAACTTCTGATATCAAGCGATCTGTCCGTCTCACCTCCCAAAGCTCTAGGATTACAAGTGTGAGCCACTGTGCTCAGCTGGGCCCAGCCGTTTTTCTAGAATCACTTCCCCTTATATTGGCTAATTCATTTCCATTTTCCTTGTCCCAGTAGCCTATGCTCACTTTTCCTTCTTGGGATGAATGACTTCTCTCTCAGAACCTGGTGCTCTGTATTTATCATGGAACTCCTGGGTTGCAACTTGCCTTGTTTTTCAGTCTGTCTTTCCCCACTGTGAAATTCTGGGGTCATCACCACTGTACTTGATTTCTCGATGTCTAGCGCAAGGCTAGGTGCTTAACAGGTGCTCACTCACTGAAAACTGAAGGAAATTATAAAAAACAATGAGATGATTGCTCTAGTCTCCCGGACTTTGGGAATAGGTTGGCAATAACTGGTCCAAAGATGTGACACAGCCCATCTGTAGCATAAGAATTCTCTGAGGGTCTCAGTTTCAGGCTGGAATTAACATAAGGTGGTATTGTCCCATATGCGAGATACTAGCCACATATGGCGATTTACTTATTTAAAGATGAGGTCTTGCTCTGTTGTCCAGGTTGGAGTGCAGTGGCCTGATCATAGCTCACTGCAGCCTTGAACTCCTGGGCTGAAGTGGTATTGCAGGTACATGCCACCATGCTCAGCTAAAGCTTTTTGTTTTGTATTGTAGAAATGGGGACTTGCTATGTTGCCTAAGCTATTCTTAAACTCCTGGCCTCAGGTGATCCTCCTGCCTCCTGGCCTCCCAAATTGCTGGGATTATAGGTATGAGCCACTGCCCCCCTGGCCCACATACAGCCATTTAAAGCTAAATTTAAATTATTTAAAATTAAATAAAATTAAAAATTTTGGCCAGGTGTGGTGGCTCACGCCTGTAATCCCAACAGTTTGGGAGGCCGGGGCGGGTGGATCACCTGAGGTCAGGAGTTAGAGACCAGCCAGGCCAACATGGCGAAATCCCATCTCTACTAAAAATACCAAACTGAGCTGAGCTTGGTGGTACTTGCTTGCAGTATCAGCTGCTCAGGAGGCTGAGGCAGGAGAATCGCTTGAACCTGGGAGGCGGAGGTTAGAGTGAGCTGGGATCACACCACTGCACTCTGGCCTGGGTGACAAAACGAGGCTTCATCTCTCACACACACACACACACATACACACACAATCAGTTCCCCTGTTACCCTAGCCAAATGTCAATTACTCTATGTGTAAGTAGCTACCATGTTGGATGGCACAGGTGTAAAATATTTTTATTGTCACAGAAAGTTCTATCGCACAGTGTTAAAATAGGGTTCCTGCATCTCTATAAAGGGACTATGTTCTAATCTTAGTAACTGGTTCATTTCCTCCAGTCCACATTTATTTTTAACTCCTATAAAATCACACACACACACACACACACACACACACACACACACAGAGACAACTATCCAAACCACAAATCACTTTGATTTTATAAAAAGAACATTTATTGATTTTTAACTAAAAAGACACTTGTTGCAAGAGGAATTTTATATATCAGTAAAAATGTCCTGTTTGGGGAGAACTTTAAGACAATTGGATTTTAACTGGGCCATTTATTCTGTGCCATTGCCACAAGGATGTCACACATTTAGCATCTGTTCCCTAGTGCATAACTTTAAAAGGGAGCTGGTTGGATCCTCTCATGGTGAGGTGACAGGTAGCTTGCGTCTCTGGCTTCAGCAACTATGGCAATTTTTTAGAATGGGTCAGGTTTTTAGTTTCTGTAGAACTGGAAGGCTGACACTCAAAATGGCCCCTTGACATGATAGTCATTGGTTGGGCCAAGCATGTAATGTGACAGCTTCTCCAATTGTTTTCAAGCTGGGAGTGGATGCTGAAGTTAACCACTGATGAGGCTTTGCACAGAAAGGGAGATCTGAGGTTGTTGCCATTGGCTGGTATAATAATAACGTGTGTGTGTGTGTGTGTGTGTGTGTGTGTGTATACGTGCTCCTGAGAGAATAGAGATAAAGAGACAGATTGCATGCATAGGCACCTAGAATTTCTTTTTCTTTTCTTTTTTTTTTGAGATGGAGTTTCGGTGTTGTCATCCAGGCTGGAGTGCAATGGTTTCAATCTCAGCTCACTGCAACCTCCACCTCCCGGGTTCAAGCGATTCTTCTGCCTCAGCCTCCAAGCAGCTGGGATTATATGCACCCGCCACTACGCCTGGCTAATTTTTGCATTGTTATTTTTAGTAGAGATGGGGTTTCACCATGTTGGCCAGACTGGTCTTGAACTCCTGACCTCAAGTGATCCATCCACCTCAGCCTCCCAAAGTGCTGGGATTATAGGCGTGAGCTACTGCGCCTGGCTGGCACCTACAATTTCTTGCACTCCTGCAGCTACTTAAGTTCCCTTGGATGTAGATTCGTGAACCCAAAGTCATAGATCCTAGGCCAGTGGATTGGTATCTGGGAAGAAGAGATACACGTTGTTACATACAGGAAACGGTGCTCTCAAATGCCATTCATCCCACTTCGTGAGGCTCTTCAGATCCCACCCTTGGAAATACGTTGTTTTATGTGTTCAGAGGCAGCTTTAGGAATGAGCATTTGAAGAATTTCCTCATATTTCTTTCCTATTGTTATATTTTCCTCACTTGCACAAGGTTTAGTCTTTTCTAAAATGTTCTTATGTAATTCTTGGAACTGCCTTTCATGAAGTAGGTGTTATAATCAACACTTCAGCAATAACGATCTGAGGCCAAAATAATTAAAGTACTAGTACAAGGTGGGAAAGCAGACAAGATTGCAAGCAGGGACTCAAACTTCATTCTAGATAACCACACACGTTGTGCCACCACGCTCTATGACACCCAATGTCAGCAGCTACTGTTTTTCCAGCAGCAAGTACTTTGAGCACGTTGCATTCCGTATTCCACGTGTGCTGCCAGGTGTGGTGACTCACACCTATAATCGCAGCATTTTGGGAGGCCAAGGCACGCGGACTGCATGAGCTCAGGAGTTCAAGACCAGTCTGGCCAACATGAAAGAACCCCATCTCTGCTAAAGCTACAAAAATTAGCAAGGTGTGGTGGTGCACACCTGTAATCCCAGCTACTCAGGAGACTGAGGCAGGAGAATCGCTTGAAACTGGGAGCGTGGGAAGTGGAGAAAATCCAGGAGGCAGAGGTTGCAGTGAACTGAGATCATGCCACTCCACTCCAGCCTGGGTGACAGAGGGAGACTCTGTAAAAAAATAAAGGAAATAAAAATATGAAAAACAAAAAAAGGAAAACAAAAAACGTTTTCATGTATGCTAACTAACTCAACAAATACCTTTAGAAGACAGATGCTAAGAAAACACTGAATAAAACAGAACGAGACGCAACATGAGGCTTGAACAAGCGGCTACAGTTATTATTTCATGTAATCTGGAACAACAAACACCCAGGAGAGAATGACTGACTTTGAGCAAGACAAAAAGAAAATGTTATTTTTACGGCTGAATAATATTCCATTGTATGAATATACCACCCTTTACTTATCCACCCATTAGTTAATAGCCATTTAGAGTATTTCTACTTTTTGGCTATTTTGATTAATGCTACTATGAACATTTTTGTTTGTTTGTTTGTTTTTGAGATGGAGTTTCACTCCGTTGCCCAGGCTGGAGTGCAGTGGTGTGATCGCGGCAAATCGACCTCTAGAAGAATTTTAAGCAGAGTGTGATATGATCAGATGTGAGGCATGATTAGTCTGAGAACAACGTTCCCTTACATAGCCCAAGTGATGCCAGTTTGTGAGTCACTCCAAATCTCTTGGTTTTGCCTCCACTTTCTGGGTTCAGCTCTTCCTCCAAGATCCCTTCACCTCATCAGTCTAAGGAAACCACGCTTCACAGCTTTGTCTGTCTAGGTCGCAAGAACAAGGTATGGTTTACCCAAGAGCAACCTGAATTTCAGGCGACGTTGACCCTCAAAAGTACAGACAGTAGATACTATAGGTAGAATAGGTATTAAGATACCTTTTGATTTATAAGCTTTTTTGTTATCAGTGGCTCAAATCATAGAATGTGTATAGTTTCCTTAGCATGAAGTGTGGAGACGAGTGGACCAGAACAAAGCACTTCAGTAATGTCAGCAGGGAACCCAGGCCTCTTCAAAAATTGTGTTCTACTACCCTATTAGTGATATGTTGCTTCCTCATTACAAAATAGCTGCCAGTCCTCCAGACATCACATCCTCATGCCACAGTGTGCAAAACAGAAGCAAGGGCTGTTGTGCAAAAACTGAAGGACCCAGAAGAGTTTCTCGTATACATCCCTAGCCAGAATTGAGTCTCACATGTATCCCTAATATAGCCTATGACAATGGCAGATGTGGTTGCTATGTTTGCCTGAGACCAGTCAGGATTCATCCCTTAGTGACATAAACAAGAGAGGTTTTAACAAACCTCCAGAGTGGCCCTGGCCTCTGAATTCCTTTCCACTTTTGTCCTCCTTATAATACAAAAGAGTAATTGCCCGCGTGAAAGAATGAAGAAGCTATTGGAGAAGACCTTGCGACCTGCCACTTGTCCTTCTCCATATTCCTAACAGATTAGGTTCCTCCTTTCACACCCATACCTTTACCTATAACCACACACACGCCAAGCTTCAAAAATCCTAGATTCTAGATTTCACATATCACACAGGGAGAAATAGTCTTCAATTTTTTTGCTGTATCCTTGCTTGTAGCTTGCTGTAACGAGGCCAAGGCCTGGAGGCAAAGCTGTTTAATACAGTTATTCTATTTCCAATACTGATCCTGAAAAGAAAACAAGGGAAACCTTTACCTAGCTCTGAGTCACTCAGAGTTAGCTTTCTTAGAAAAGATTGGGCAGAGGCTGGGCGTGGTGGCTCACACCTGTAATCCCAGCACTTTGGGAAGCCAAGGTGGGTGGATCACTTGAGGCCAGGAGTTCGAGACCAGCCTGGCTAACATGGTGAAACCCCATCTATACTAAAAATACAATTAGCTGGGTGTGATGGCACACACCTATAATCCCAGCTACTTGGGAGGCCAAGGCACAATAATTGCTTAAACCCAGGAGGTGCAGATTGCAGTGAGCTGAGGCAGAACCACAGCACTCTGGCTTTGGTGACAGAACGAAACTGTCTCCGAAAAGAAAAAAAAGGAAAAGATTGGGCAGAGATTGTTTGTAGGGAGAGCAGCAGATTGAAAACTGTCTTTCTGTATTCATACTGACTTTTGCAGATACCAATCTTCTACTTGGATATCAGTGTTATAACTTGATGCATTTAGACTTCAAAGACCTGTCCTTATAACCATTTTCACTGGTTATCAGTTGCAAAATGCAACTTGATTGGGGGAGTGGAAATGAAGAGGGTTATGTCCCAATTCCCTCCCCAGTTGAAGGCCTCTCCCCACCTCAGTTCTGGCTATCATTTGCTTTCTCACAATTTTGCCATCTTTGACTTTGCTTTTCTATTTTACAACAGGAAAACAGAATCCCAGGTAGAGAGGAAGGCATTTGCCCCTAATTATTTAGAAATCCTCCTTATCAGGACTAAAGCTGATATATATATATATATATAGAGAGAGAGAGAGACAGAGTTTCGCTCTTATTGCCCAGGTTGGAGTTCAGTGGTGCAGTCTCAGCTCTCTGCAATCTCCGACTCCCAGTTCCAAGTGATTCTCCTGCCTCAGCTTCCCAGCTAGCTGGAATTACAGGCACCCACCACAATGCCTGGCTAATTTTTGTATTTTTAGTAGAGACTGGGTTTCATCCTTAGGCTGGTCTTGAACTCCTCACCTCAGGTGATCTGCCTGCCTCAGCCTCCTAAAGCGCTGGGATTACAGGAGTGAGCCACCGCACCTGACCGGCGGCCACCTCTTACTGTGTTAGTGCTTATCTCCAGGAGCCCAGAGGAAGTTACCTTTGGTGTTGACATCCCAGCAATGTACTCACTTAAATGTGATCAGCAGGCCATCCCATCCCCCACGTTGGGACGAAGGCCTCAGCTGACTCCTCTATGATGAGCCTAGCAGATAAATCCAATACCTACTACACATCCCTACTCTGTCCACCCCTTGAAAATCTTTCTCCTATCTGTGAGCTAAGAACATGATGGCCTCATCCTTTCAGAAACTTAGAAGAAGTGTAGGTCAGTGCAAAATAACCACTCACAGATTCCAAGCTGTGGCTGCAGATTTGAGAGAAGAGAAGGAGAAAAAAAAGAGGGGGTGCTGTGTGAACAGAGAGGAACTTCAAATGTAGATTGATAAAGAATGGAATGAGGAAGGAAAACCGAGGGGCACATTTGAGGTTCACAGGAGCCTCCGTCTCGAGTGGACACACACTCCTTATATTTAACATTAATAATTGCTAAATGATATGAAGTGATATATCAATCAAATTAATAAAGCTTACATTATTTAGGGCATTTAGTTTGCTAAAATCACTGGCATCTGTGCCTATTAAAAATGACAGATGATTAGGATATCCAAAGTTTGGTAGAATCTGCTAGCTAACAAGGTAGAATTAAAATTTACATCTTGTTCTGGCATAATGAAGATAATTAAAAAGAGTGATAAAACCCTTTGATTAACCCTCATCTCCTCTTGCATAGCATTTTATTATGCAAATGAAACCTCCAACACTGTAAACTTAATACCAGTTAAGAATATGAATATCTTCTCATTTCCAAAGTACAAACATATATGCGTACATATAAAATATTTGATTGAAATGGGGTCTGTTTTGCAGCAAAGCGCAACTCAAGGGTGCAGCTCACGGAACAAAGTTATGTCTTCGTTTGCTGCAAGCTTGACTTCTTGTCCACCATGCCATCCACACTGTTCCCTGATAGCTCCTGCTTTGTCGTTTAATTACCTGCCCTGACAAGTTATGGCGCTAAGAGCGCCCAGAATGCAAACACAAGAATGTCTGTGTCATCCCAGGAAGGGTTCATTTGTAGTCCTGATTTTGCTTTCTTGAGTTAAAGGGCACATCACAGTAACCGGAAAAAGCAAAAAGTCCCCGTCTGCCCACCTCTAAGGTTTGAGAAGGTGTAACCGCCAATGGGTTCTCCTTGTGTGCTGCGGAGACACAGCCCATTTATCAAGACGGAATTGCAATAGAGAAAGAGTAATTCACATAGAGCTGGCTGTGTGGGAGATATATTACTACTCAAATCAGCCTCCCCAAGCACTCGAGGATCAGAGTTTTTAAGGATAATTTGGTGGGTGTGGGGCAGCCAGTGAGTTGGGAGTGCTGATTGGTCATGTCAGAGATGAAATCACAGGAAGTCAAAGCTGTTTTCTTGCAGTAAGTCAGTTCCTTGGCGGGGCCCACAAGATCACATGAGCCAGGTTACTAATGGTCCCAGCTGATGCATTAAGTGCAGGGTCTACAAAATACCTCAGGCACTGGTCTTAAGTTTTCCAATAGTGCCTTTATCCCCAGGAGCAACTTGGGGAGGGTCAGAATCGTGTAGCCTGCAGCAGGATGACTCCTAAATCATAATTCCTAGCCCTGACTAATTTCTTAGTTCTGGAAAGGCAATGGAGTCCCCAGGAAAGAACGGGGTTTGTTTTGAGCAAGGGCTGTTATCATCTTTGTTTCAAACTATAAACTAAGTTCCTCCCGAAGTTAGTTCAGCTATGCCTAGGAATGAACAAGGACAGCTTGGAGGTTAGAAACAAGATACAGTTCGTTACATCTGATCTCTGTTACTGTCTCAGTCATAATTTTGTAATGGTGGTTTCAAAGAGAGGGATTAGAAAATCAGAAGTATGAGATTTTGTTTTTAAGGACTGACTCTCTCAACAAGTAATTTCTCCCTGAGAAATATTTCTTCTTCTTCAGTAATGCTAAAGAGAAGTCCATGATGGCTAAAAGTGTAACTGAGCTGATTTAATACATTTTCCCTTGGCTGAGTGAGTTAATTGGTAGGAAAATAACCAAAGTCACTGTGAAAGAAGGATATCAAATTTCTCTGTCTCTCTTTGCATTCTTCAGCCATTGTTCTACAGCCTCTCTTTTCATAGGGAATGAGCTTTGAGTTATGCCATGAGAAGCAGCCAGCGTCAGCAAGACAAATCTGAATCTCCTTCCAAGAAC